GATGTTGGGCAGCACTGCTCGGAGCTGGTGAGCACTTGCACAGAGCTGAAAGGGATGATCTGGCACAAAGCTACCTGCCTGTGGTGAGGAGCAGTGTTTTACGTGAAACAGGAGCTTCCCTGGTACCAGGCCAACCATGGGGCAAGCTGCAGGCATCTCCGTGGGGTTTGAGCTTCCTCTGTGTTCCATTGAGCCACGTTGTCAGGCTCAAGTAATTATAGTTGCTTTTCTTACCCAGTCTGTGGCAAGCAGTCCTTTCAGCAGGAAATAGAAGCAGAAATGCCAGAAAACCTGGATTTCCTCCCCATCCCGTGCAGTGAAAAGGTGAAGCCTGGTCACTGCTTTGGCTGTCTGTGGCGCCGGGGAGGGCTCTGCTTGCAGATTAATGGGGTGAGCACTGGGGTGGCCCCAGCAGGGGTTCCCCAGGGTGGTTTCCATTGCACATGGAGCACGTGTGCTCCGGGGAGAGGTGCTGGGCTCAATGGGCTGTGTCCATCCTGCAGCTTGCGGAACAGGACCGGGAGCTCGCGCCGGCACGCGCGGGGACGGCTCAGCTCGGGTACCATTATTAACCAGGGCCTGGGGAGAGCAGGTAATTGCTGGTGTCAGTGAGGGATTACCCTGCTGTGCATCTCAGTTGACTCATACCATTAGGAAAGTCAAGCCTGTGAGTGCTGTGGCCTTCTTGATCCAGTGGGAACCTCAGTCTGTGTGTGTGCTGGTGGCTCTGTGTTCCTGCCTGGTCCATCAGGTTTGCTTTCCGATCCGGCGTCCTTTTATGTGGTGAACTCGCCCCGTGCCTTCACACCTCATCCCAGGTAGGGCTTTTGAGATGCCAGCGTTTGATTTTGATATCCAAGGATGGTGCCAGTAATTCCATCGTCATGGAATGGTTTGGGTTGGAAGAGACCTTAAAGCTCATCCAGTTCCAACCCTTCTACTAGACCAGGTCTAGACCATGTCTGAGTATAAACCCAGCAGGGAAAACCCCCTTACTACGTGTAATGGAGAGCTGCAGGCTTTGGAGAACAGAACTAGAAGACATTTGTTTATCAAAGAAGCTTATTTGACTTGTGCTGAGCCTTGGTATGTCCTTGGAGAGCTGGAGGAGGCTCAGGTTTGGCCTGAAGATACTGAAACATGTCTGGTTTGGGGGTTTTGTATTTGTAGTAAACCACTACCCTGCTAAACTGAGCTTTCATATGGACACACGGCCATAGGCTTTGTCCCTATGAAGTCTTATTTATATCTCCTCCTTTGTTGGTATTTTTGTGGGCAGCAGTGCACACTGAAACCTTTGCAGGGTGTGTGTGTGTGAGAAAGCAGCAGTGTGTTAAATCCAGGACCTGCAATAGGCCACGGAGCACCAGCTGGCTGCTCCTGCCTGGGATGCTGAGGTTTTCATGTGGTTGATGCCCAAAACCATCTTTGGTGAAGCATCTGTGGTACCTTTGCTCCTGGCTGCTCAGCCTGCCTTTGTTTGATACCATTTACTGCTGACACCAGCTTGCTTTGAGCTCTGCAGCTCCTGGATGTGCTGTTTCCAGAGTGGGTTTTTCATTCGGCACCAGGTACAACTCCTAGGAAAGTCAAAGCTGATGAACCACGAGCTCCTGCTTCCCCAGTGTGTTACCAGGGTTCTGACCAGCTGGTGCAGCTGCTCTGAGGTGGATCTGTTGAGGAGGAGGATGCTGATGCTGGGGGTAAATGGCACTTTCAATACAAACACAATGAGCTTCCAGGTGGTGTTGTGGGATGCTCTGTCTGTAGAGCACTGTCTCGCAGCCAGGAGCATGAGAGGAGAGCAAAACAATCGAACCAAAAGCCTTTGGGATGTGAGAATGGTTTCTAGGGGACAAAATATAGGATATAGCACAGGTTGGAAGGATAATTCTTCAGTCACAAGTTGCCTTCTCATATCTCACCTGCACATCTGGCTTTGGAGCTTTGCTTTCTCAATACAACATCGCAACCCCGTGTGATCACACATAAATCCCCAGTGAATTTCCTCCCTGTGGCAGTTCCAGCTACATCAGAGGTGTGTGCAGCAGGCAGCTCTTGTGATTTCTGCAGGGCTTTATGAATCAAGTCTTTATCTTGGGTTTGATTTCTGTAGGGTTTTACTAATCCTTTGTTCAGCCTCATGCTTTTAGCATTGCTGATTCAAAACCTGACATCAAAAAAGGCTCCTTAAGGGGAGACCTTAGAGCAGCTCCAGTGCCTGAAGGGGCTGAAGGAAACTTGGAGAGGGGCCTGGGACAAGGGATGTAGGGACAGGTCAAGGGGAATGGCTTTAACCTGCCCGAGGGGAGACTGAGATGAGCTCTTAGGCAGAAGCTCTTCCCTGTGAGGGTGCTGAGGCGCTGGCACAGGGTGCCCAGAGAAGCTGTGGCTGCCCCATCCCTGGCAGTGTCCAAGGCCAGGTTGGACACAGGGGCTTGGAGCAAGCTGCTCCAGTGGAAGGGGTCCCTGCCCGTGGCAGGGGTTGGAGCTGGATCAGCTTTAAGGTCCCTTCCAACCCAAACCATTCCCTGACTATGGATAAAGGCTGTGTATCAGGTTGGTGAATGCAGAGCGGGGTCAGGCTCCAGGGGGAGGTGGCTCAGCCTGACCCCAGCTCTGTGTTGCCAGCAGGAATTCAGGCTTTTCCATAGCCCCCACAAGCAGATGAGGAAGTGAGGATGGTGCATGCCAGGTAGATTCCCAAGGATGGGAGTCTGTTTGTGTGGAGCCCTGGTTGGGAGCCAGGCTGGTACCACAGTGCGTGGCAGGAGGGTGGCCGGTGCCTTCACCTTCCCTCCCTCCATTGAGCATCGCGCTGGAGCTTGTCACAGCAGCTCGATTCAACCCCAGCCATTTCCCTTGGAGGCTCCACATGGATTGAACTGGATGGGTTTTCTAAAGCAGAAATAATTCCCTATGGGACTGAAGGCCGGAAGGAAAATGCCATCAGTCTGAGCCATGTGTGGATGTAAACAGCTTCATGCTTTGTATCGTGTCCTCCAAAGAGCTTTGCCTGGCACTGGCACTCGTGTGTGACTTATCTCTGCAGCATCCCTTTGCCTCCAGGAAGGCAGCTCTGCTGCTTGAACTCCTGCTTCCCTTCAACCTTGTAGCAGGAAGCAGCACTTGGGAAGCAGTACTCCATGCGTGTCAGCTTTGTTTCAGTTCTTTGAGCCCTGTAACAGGGAGAGAGTGGTTTCAGTCCCCAAAGTGAACAAAACTGGAGCTGAGGTGCTGCTGTCTGTTGACAGGGCTTGTAAGGAGACACTTCAAAGCTTCACTGAGCTCTTGCAAAGGAAATCCAGACTGAATTCCATGTTTTTCTCGCTGTGATTTATGCTCAGCTTCTTGTACCAGATCAGAGCTCACTTTGCTGTGTGGCTTGTCCCATGTCAGTGACTCTGTACTGGGCTTGTTGATCTCCTCCGTATGGAGCAGAGGAGATAAAAGCAATCTAAACACTGGGATTTGGGGGTGTGGGCCAGCAGCTGGAGCTGCAGACCACCTCACAGGGATCTGCCTCAGCAGGATTCCAACTCTTGGGATGAATTTGCACAAAGGTTTCACTTGAGAACGGCAATAGCCCTAAAGGTGAATCCCTAAGGTGCGTGGATAGTATGGATTGGGTGGGGATATACCTGACCCAATATGCTGGCTGTAAAGTTAATCCTTCCTTTCTGATGGCCACTGTCGCTTCCCCACCTCTCCTGGCTCGAAAGCCCTTTCCAGAATGCATTATTGCCTCTAATGACTGCAGCCTGCTTTCTGCCCTGGGTTTAATTGCTTCATTTCCTGTGGTTGCAGCAGCTGGCAGGGGGGGGCTCTGCTCAGCCTTCGCTTGTGGACCAGGAACAGGGAGCTCTGGGTCTAAACAACCTCCACCACGTCATCCTCAGCACGGGGCTTCCTCTTCCCTTTGTGTTGGTGAGCCTGCTGCAAGTCTGTCTCCTCCATTCCTGTGACACCAGTCCCCAGGAGCAGTGTTTGGAAAGGATAATAGCTGATAGCTTTTCAAGAGGCTGTGCTTTAAAATGCTGTATTTATTTTGCATGGATTTGCTTCCTACAGAGGCACGCGAATCGCTCCGTCGGTGCTCTTTGTCCTTTCAGAGCTGTTTATAGGTTTCCTTTCCTGCTGCCCACCGTGCATGGATGTCCCCATTGTTTGCCTGCTTGGGGTTTGTGCTGCAAAGGGATGTCCATCACCTCCTTTCTTCCCCTCCTCTGCATCAGCCTGGTTGTGTCTTCGTGGTGTTGGTGCTTCCTGGGAGCTCCATCAGTGGTGGTGTTCCCATTAAGGTGGGTAACTGAGTCTGTTACAGCTGGCTGAAGTGCCTTTCCCAGCCTGCCAGCCACTCATTCCATACAGCTCCAAGTGCTCCTCACCTCCTTTTCCCCCCACTGAGCTTTGAATTTTCCACAAGTGTTTGAGTTCAAAGTCCACGGCGGGGCTGCGCCGGGAGCTCGGTTGTTGCCTTTGGCACTGGTGCCTCTAAACTTAAGCCTCATGTGATTTTCATATAGTTTCAAGCCCAGCCATCCCCCTCTGGTGCTGGTGCCAGATGCTGTTTGTCACCAGCGTGGAGCTGCTTCCCCCCCACCCCACCCCGAGCTGATGTGAGCAGTGGCTGCATCGTGCTCCTGGGATGCAGCTCCCACCAAGTATAGCCATGGGCAATGAGTTGATGTCCTGTTGGTGGCAGCTTCTTGGCCAACTCTCCTATTAACCTGAGTTCTTCAGTGCTTTTCAGGACAAGATGGGTCTTAAATACCCCTGCCTCTGTGTGTGACTGTGTTAGTGTGAGTCTGTGTTAGTGTGCAGGTAAAAGAGCACGGAGAGGGGTGATGCTTCTTAAAAACAATATGTTTTTATGCAGAAACACGCTCTGCAAGCTGTCACATTGACAGTGAATGAGTCCTTGTGATCAACCTTGAGCTTTATCATAGAACCCCAGCCTGGTTTGGGTTGGAAGGGACCTTAAAGCTCATCCAGCTCCAAGCCCCTGTATCCAACCTGGCCTTGAACACTGCCAGGGATGGGGCAGCCACAGCTTCTCTGGGCACCCTGTGCCAGCGCCTCAGCACCCTCACAGGGAAGAGCTTCTGCCTAAGAGCTCATCTCCATCTCCCCTCTGGCAGTTTATCCCTGTAAATCCCCTCGTGTGTGTTGGCAAAGCAGGGCTTTGTGGCACTGGGTCGTAGCACTTGGTTCAGGTCCTGAAGCTCCACCATTGGCGCTGCTTGGAGTATGTGAGTACCTGTACCCCTTGGAGATGTGCCTCCATTGTAGCCCACCCATGTTACACTGCACATGGATGCTGTCCTCCTCATGCTTCTTGGCTTTTCAGCAGGCAAAGTCCTGTGGAGCAGAATGTTGGGAGGATTGATGGTGGCTTTCAGTGCCGGCTTCCTACAGGCACTGGGCCGTGTCCTTATCTCGGAATGAATGGCACTTTATTGACCCAAGTCCCTGCTGCTCTCCTACCAGGAAGTCTTCTTGGTAGGTGAGATGGGTGAAGTGGTTACAGAGCTGCTCACAGGGTCCTTGTGGTCCCTGAGGGTGATGTCCAGTAAATGTGCTTTGTGTGATGGCCATCACGTTCCTAACGGCTGCCGGCAAAGTGTAAATGTTGGAATAACTCCCTTGGAGACTTCTCCAAGGACAAAAAAAGGGAGAACCAACCCTTCTGTGCTCCCCATAGGAACACCCCTGCAGACCTTCCCCAGCCATGCACCCAAACCAGTGCCAGAGGGGACCTTGACAGGAAGGAGGCCTTGTCTCTCCCTCTGCCAGCCTGTGCTGCGCTGGAGCCTGATCGCAGCCGGGGCTTGGAGCGGCTCATGGGGAGCTTTTCCAGCTCTCTGTAAGCTGGGAAAGGCAGCTTTGGGGGGGGGGGGCTTCCTGTGGGATGGGGCAGGGGGAGGGTGGCCATTCTGCAAGCAGAGGTTTCAGTTTTGCAGGAACTGTTGAATAAATCCATCTCTTGCTGGAAAAGTTTTTCCTTGTTGCTGTGCAGTAAAGGATCAACTGCTACCAAACCCTGTGTTACGTGGTCAGCACAGCCTGGTTTGGGTTGGAAGGGACCACAGAGCTCCTCCAGCTCCAACCCCTGCCACAGGCAGGGACCCCTTCCATAGAGCAGCTTGCTCCAAGCCCCTGTGTCCAACCTGGCCTTGAACACTGCCAGGGATGGGGCAGCCACAGCTTCTCTGGGCACCCTGTGCCAGCGCCTCAGCACCCTCACAGGGAAGAGCTTCTGCCTAAGAGCTCATCTCAGTCTCCCCTCGGGCAGGTTAAAGCCATTCCCCTTGGCCTGTCCCTACATCCCTTGTCCCAAGCCCCTCTCCAGGTTTCCTGCAGCCCCTTCAGGCACTGGAGCTGCTCTCAGGTCTCCCCTTCAGGAGCCTTCTCTTGTCCAGGCTGCCCCAGCCCAGCTCTCTCAGCCTGGCTCCAGAGCAGAGCTGCTCCAGCCCTGCAGCATCCCCATGGCCTCCTCTGGAAACTTCTTAAGTACAGTGAGATGCACTTTGAGTGTGGATTTCCTGAGCAGAGCTGTCAGTGATGGCTGTACCTGAGCAGAGCTCTCTTGGGGATGGCTGTACCCCATTTACCAGTGACACACGCTTGTGTCATGTAATGGGCAGAAGCTGGATCAGCCCAGCATTGGGACACTTCATTTCCATGTTAACTATCACCTCATGCGTGCGCTCGGGGCAGGATGGAGAGCTCAGCATCAGACCCAGCCAGGTGAGGCTCCTGTCTGCATGGCTTTTGAAGCCTGGTCCATGTCAATGCAGGACTTGCTCGGAGGCTGAATGGGTAGCTGCAGTAATGACACAATGCTCTCTTATTTTAACTCCCCCCATGCCTGCTGGGAGTTGCTTCACTCTCTGAGCTTGCATCAGTTGTTGTTCACTCCCCTCTTTGCATGTATGATGAGTGCAGTCCCTATGTAGGTGTTTCTGGTGCAGGGACACTCATAATTACACACTCACCCACTGCGCGCTCAGCTCCAAGGTGCTGTCGGCTGCATCCTGCGTGGATGTCATGCAGATGACCCACTTTGGGTGCTGTGCCCTGTAATGAGGGCCTGACGTGACCAGGGCCTGACCAGCAGCTCCAGTGTTCCCAGCAGATAAACCTCTTCCTTATCCACGCTGGGGCCACCAACAGGGATTTACTGTGAGGGTGCTGGGAAGCTGGGGCTGCCCCATCCCTGGCAGTGCTCAAGGCCAGGTTGGACATAGGGGCTTGGAGCATCCTGCTCTGTGGAGGGTGTCCCTGCCAGTGGCAGGGGTTGGAGCTGGGGGAGCTCTGAGGTCCCTTCCAACCCAAACCAGGCTGGGATCCTGTATGCTTTTCTGTATCCTGTTGAGAATGACACCTGGTAGTAAAGGGTGTTAAGGGCCATGGTAGGAAAAGCATACTTAGGTCAGCTAGCTTCTGTCCCTAGAAGTAATTCCAAAAGCCTGGAAGTCTCAAACAGCCTCTACCATTGTTTTCAGTCTGGTTTTGTTCTTATACGGCCCTGCTAAGGAGTCCCAGTGTCCACGGGTGTATTCACCTCTCCCCACTGCCATGGCTTACCAATACACCCCAGTGCTGAAGCTGCTGGTGCTGGGCACATGCTGTGCTGGAGCCTCCCTGATGCACAGTCTCCATTAACAACAGGCAGTGACTGCTGCCTGCATTCACACAGGCACATCTGAATTCAGACAAAGCCTTGTTGCCAGTACAGATGAAACAGAACAGGCTGGCTGCTTCTGGAATCTCTATTTTAATCCTTCCTGCCCCTCGCCTGGTCTCTTCCAGGCTGGTTCCTTTTCGGAAGTCTCCTGCTGCTGTCTGATTTGCTCCTTTTAATTTTCCTTCTCCTTTTCTTGTTGAAGGGGTGGAGGATGCTGGGTCAAATGTAAGGTTCTGGCCTGGACAGTAATGGGAAAGAGCAGAGATCTGCCTGGTCCCTCTTGTGCTGGTGACTGGGGAAATGAAAATCATCGTCTCGTTTTCCCATGAGTAATTCCTGTGTTTCTCCTTCATTAGAACTCTCTGCAGAATTCCCTTCATTTCCCAGCTGATCGACTGAGCCATCTAATGGGATAGAGCAGGAGTCCTGCATCCAGCCCTGGGGCAGCAGCATGAGAGGGACGTGGAGCTGCTGGAGCGCGGCCAGAGGAGGCCATGGGGATGCTGCGAGGGCTGGAGCAGCTCTGCTCTGGAGCCAGGCTGAGAGAGCTGGGCTGGGGCAGCCTGGACAAGAGAAGGCTCCTGAAGGGGAGACCTGAGAGCAGCTCCAGTGCCTAAAGGGGCTGCAGGAAAGCTGGAGAGGGGCCTGGGACAAGGGATGTAGGGACAGGAGCCGCTGCGATCTCTCCTGACCCACTGTGGCTCTCAGCAGTTGGTAGCAGTTGTCACTGAGTCTGAACCAGGTCCTGGGCTCGAGGAGCTGCTCTTGTGCCCGAGTCCGGATGGAGCAGACTTCCTGGAATCTGTGTGATTGGGGCAATGGCAAAACCCCCATTTCATCATCTGCCTGTCTGTGAACCCATTCGGACCCGCTGACTCGCTGTCGTCTGGTGGGAGGTGAGAACAGCATCTGTGGAGGGGGGAGCAGCACTCGTTCTGAGTGACGTGTGAAGGACTAACGCTGGAGAGTTGTATCCCACTTCAGCATCGTGCCTCGGGGTCTTGGGAGGCTTCAAGACCAGCTTTGAAGTTTGATGCCTCCAAAGGCATCGGTTGGAGCTTCCTCTCGGCACGATGGTGTTCCTCTGTCGTTTGGTATCACCGAGACTCAAAAGCACGTTGGCTTTCCACAGTGAAGGGGGTGTCTCTGGTAGGTGAGGGACTCAGGTACAGGGTGTTTGCTCTTGCAGAAGCTGCTGTCTCGCCGAGGTCTGGCAAACAGCGCCCTAAGCCAGGTCTTACTTTCCTTTTTTTAACTCTTAATCTGATCCTGTGCCACAGGAGTGACCTGCCTGAGGCTGGCTTTATTTGCTCTGCATGCATACACCTCCATTCATTCAGAGCACTGCATCAAGCCATTAGAATCAGCTTTCCCAGGCTGGGATTTCAGCAGTTTTTAGCAGGTTTGTGGCTCAGGAAGATCAGCTTTTAGGTAGAGGTGCAAGAGAAACTTTATTAATGAAATGAAAGCTCCTTCTCATCATTCCCTGCTTGGCTTTTGGCAGCGTTGAAGACTTCTGACAGAAGGAGGCATCACTGCTCAGCAGTCTTGGTTCCCAGATCACACTCAGCCTTCCTCCCACAGGCACAAGCGTGTGGAGGTTGGTGGTTGGTTGGGTTTCTCGCCATGGCAAGACAATACCGAGTGGTTTAAATCCATGTGGGTGCTTCGCGAGGAGCACACGCGGCGCCGCTCTCTGCTCTTCATGGGACTCTTGGAACGGAGAAGCTTCTCATTCCTTCATCTGCACTGAGGTTATTTCAGAGGGTTCTGAGTCCATTGCAGCTTTGTCACTTGTTGGCCACTGCAGTGATTGCCCCCCCCTCTGCACTCCTGATCCAGCTCTGGGGTAACAGCACAAGAGGGACGTGGAGCTGTTGGATGAGGCCAGAGGAGGCCATGGGGATGCTGCAGGCTTGGAGCAGCTCTGCTCTGGAGCCAGGCTGAGAGAGCTGGGCTGGGGCAGCCTGGACAAGAGAAGGCTCCTGAAGGGGAGACCTGAGAGCAGCTCCAGGGCCTAGAATCTCCATTTATATTTCATCTCTCAACCCACAGAGCCTTTTGGACCATTTATAATCCATACTGGATGTAATATTCTACCCAAGCATCATCTAATCCAGGAGGTTGAAAGCTTGAGCACAAAGTTTCTCTTTTGAGGGTTGCTGGGGGCAGACGTCTCTCTCAGAATGGTTTTGTTAAGCAGCAGCTTCTTCCCTCAGGTAGGTTTCCTTTCCTTCATGAGAACCCATGGCTCAATGGCTTGAATTGTGTTTCCTTTACAGATGTTCTCAAACAACGACGAAGCTGTGATCAACAAGAAGCTTCCAAAAGAGCTGCTGCTCCGGTGAGTCCTTTCCCTTCCCCGTCATGGAGCCCAGGGGCTGGTACTTTGCTGGTTATGCTCCTAAATCATGAGCTTGGATCAGGTCACTTTAGAAAAGCCATGGACAAGCAGAAGCGGATCAGAGGTCTGCAGCAGTTTATGCTAAATATGATTAGGTTTGGGGTTTTCAGATTGCTGGTTTGTAGATGGAAGAACCCTAGGACTAAAATGCTTAGTGAAAATACATGGTGAGTAGCTGCTGATGTCTAGAACAGGATTCTGCCTCTCAAAGAGTTCAGTGCTAGTAAGAAGTGAATTTCTCTGCTGCAGTTGGGCACGAGCAGACTCTGTCCTGGTCCTCATCCCTAGGAGACATAGGGCAGGATGCTCCTGGTGGCAGAGCTCAAGGACCAGGCTTTGAGGGTCTTGGAGGAGAGCTCTGCCTTTCCCCGTGCACACACATCTGCACCTTTCAGTGTCTGCCTTCCCTGGTGCAGGAGCAGTGATGGGGGGTGTGTGGTTGTACCTCAGGCATCACTGTGTGGCATCTGGAGGTAAAGCTGTGTCCATCCGTGCTCGAAGCTGAGGGGCTGGACCAAATAGAATGATTGAAGTAGTGAAGCATCATCAATGGTGAAGGCAATTGCAGGTGGTAGCTTGAAGTATTGACATGACAAGAAACCGTGGTAATGTCAGCACCAAGTGGTGATAAAATGTGTGGGGAGAGGAGCTCTGCCCTGTGGAGATGCTTTTGTCTTCTGTGTCTTGCTATCACGCATCAGCCCAAGCTGCTGTAGACCAGGGCAAGTGTTGAGCAGCGGGAGGAGCACAGGAGAGAGCAGGAGGGTGAGTTTATAAACGTTTAAAGTTCATAAGTGATGGTTTGAGAGTTGGAATTCCCTGTTAGCATATTGTGAAAATGAATCAGTGAGGAGTGACAGTGCAGCCTTTCAGAGAGCAGCCTGGATGCAGTTATCTGCAGGC